TCTCCGGACACTTAGCCTCCTGGCGGGCCTCCAGGGGGTCTGAGGCGGGGCTGAAGGCTGCAGTCGGTCTACTGACCGGCCCGGCCGGCAGGATCCGTCGAGAAACAGGGGGGTCAAGGGAGGTTTTCTTCCCCCTGGGAGAAATGTCCTATGGGTTTTTGGATCTGCGATATAAAAAAGTCTTGTCTCGGTCACGTGATGTGTCACGTGACCGGTCAGGTGAGCCTGTCAGCCGGGTCACGGCCCCTGTCAGCCGGCTGACATGTCACGGGCCTGCTGACACGGTCCGCTGACCGGTCACGGCCGCCCGGAGAGATCGGGCCCCCGGCCACAATCTCCGGACACTTAGCCTCCTGGCGGGCCTCCAGGGGGTCTGAGGCGGGGGAAGGCTGCAGTCGGTCTACTGACGGACCCGCGGCCGGCAGGATCCGTCGAGAAAAGGGGGGTCAAGGGAGGTTTTTCTTCCCCCTGCGAGAAATGTCCTATGGGTTTTTGGATCTGCGATATAAAAAAGTCTTGTCTCGGTCACGTGATGTGTCACGTGACCGGTCAGGTGAGCCTGTCAGCCGGGTCACGGCCCCTGTCAGCCGGCTGACATGTCACGGGCCTGCTGACACGGTCCGCTGACCGGTCACGGCCGCCCGGAGAGATCGGGCCCCCGGCCAATCTCCGGACACTTAGCCTCCTGGCGGGCCTCCAGGGGGTCTGAGGCGGGGCTGAAGGCTGCAGTCGGTCTACTGACGGGCCCGGCCGGCAGGATCCGTCGAGAAACAGGGGGGTCAAGGGAGGTTTTCTTCCCCCTGGGAGAAATGTCCTATGGGTTTTTGGATCTGCGATATAAAAAAGTCTTGTCTCGGTCACGTGATGTGTCACGTGACCGGTCAGGTGAGCCTGTCAGCCGGGTCACGGCCCCTGTCAGCCGGCTGACATGTCACGGGCCTGCTGACACGGTCCGCTGACCGGTCACGGCCGCCCGGAGAGATCGGGCCCCCGGCCAATCTCCGGACACTTAGCCTCCTGGCGGGCCTCCAGGGGGTCTGAGGCGGGGCTGAAGGCTGCAGTCGGTCTACTGACGGGCCCGGCCGGCAGGATCCGTCGAGAAACAGGGGGGTCAAGGGAGGTTTTCTTCCCCCTGCGAGAAATGTCCTATGGGTTTTTGGATCTGCGATATAAAAAAGTCTTGTCTCGGTCACGTGATGTGTCACGTGACCGGTCAGGTGAGCCTGTCAGCCGGGTCACGGCCCCTGTCAGCCGGCTGACATGTCACGGGCCTGCTGACACGGTCCGCTGACCGGTCACGGCCGCCCGGAGAGATCGGGCCCCCGGCCAATCTCCGGACACTTAGCCTCCTGGCGGGCCTCCAGGGGGTCTGAGGCGGGGCTGAAGGCTGCAGTCGGTCTACTGACGGGCCCGGCCGGCAGGATCCGTCGAGAAACAGGGGGGTCAAGGGAGGTTTTCTTCCCCCTGCGAGAAATGTCCTATGGGTTTTTGGATCTGCGATATAAAAAAGTCTTGTCTCGGTCACGTGATGTGTCACGTGACCGGTCAGGTGAGCCTGTCAGCCGGGTCACGGCCCCTGTCAGCCGGCTGACATGTCACGGGCCTGCTGACACGGTCCGCTGACCGGTCACGGCCGCCCGGAGAGATATAGCGTTGCTTTTCCGGCCGGGCGCTCATAGGAAAAATTGGCAATATTTTTTTTTTTTCGAAGGACCTGAGGGGTGCCTCCATCCCATGCCATCAGATAGTACCCCCCTTGGAGCAGGGCTGGGGGAGGGTACTAGCTCTCAGAAAAATGGTCGCTGCGCAGGGCAAATGAGGGGTGGGGTGATTTGAATTTGGGTTGCTTGGACACCTCACCACGCCAAACCAATGTAAAAGTACGAATTTTAGAAGTATATGTGGTACCATCTTAAAATTGAAGCATTTACATGGTACAAAACGAGGGCCAAACTGGTCGGAACCTCGACCTCTGAGAACCCCTCCGTTTGACTATGGTTGGGGGGTGGGGTGGACATGGAGCACCCTCAACTACCCACCTTTGAAAGAGTTTGAAACTCTGAAATAGGGGGTGGGGGGTAGCCCCCTTTTCTCATTCCCCAAGCCCTCTCTCCCTGGACGAGCAAGAAGCGATGAAATGGTGCCTTCCTGACTCGCGAGGATGAACCTTGACATTGAGAGACTTCGAATCCAACCCAACTGAGATAGGAATGAGATGAAGATCTCATATCATCCCTGTAAGAGATGATCGAGCTTCTTTCTCAACTCTGCAGGTTGGGCCAATATTTGAATCATCCATGCAGTAATGGAATATGTGCCCTTGGTTTAAGCAATCCGCGGATGTACTTGCAAATATGCTTCGAAGACAAGATGAAATCTTTATGATCAGGTAAGGCACTAACAATTCATACACCATTGAGCAGAAGCAACTCTGATCGACCCTCCATTCAAATTGCCGTGGGTTGCACGTTGCGCTCAAATGCATGGTTTGTAAGAATTTTGGATCCAGCTGTTCTTTATGTGACTTTTCTGTTTGGAAATGTTTCCTCATGTCATCACTCACTTTCAATTCCTCTAGTGTTACGGTCAGGATTCATGCACTTTACTTTTCTATCATTGTGGAGGCAAGTGTTACATGCACTCAACCGTTCACCGTGAAGATATGTTTGCACAGAGGATGACTTTTCCTGCCCGCATAGATGACTGTAGAGATCTGCTGTTGATCATGAATAACTATATCCATGATCAAGTGCATTGATAGCTGCATTTCCATGTTTCAGGACGTTAGATGAGTTTTCTGCTCTTCAAATTTTTCATCTGTCATGATATTTCCACAACGCTTTCGATGGCACAGAAACCTAGTCAGAAATGAAACAATGTGCAGATGATGCCTTTGTGCGTATCAATAAATGAGATGTTCTTCGAATCAATCCTGTCTGGTTTTGTCAGTTCACAATGCATGATGCTACTGTGCAACTGTAGACTTCTTGTCGCATGGCTTTACAGTGGATTTCCTTGTTATACAGAGCAAGCACTCGACGATTGTAAATGAATCGCAAACGCTACACATGCAAACGCTGTGAATCAATAAACAGAATTGCACATCCAGGTTAACACATCTTTATTAGAAGAGTTACAATCAGGGTACAAGTACAACCGACCTCCCTGTAATCCTTGCGACGTTCCATCTTTTGCCTGTCGGATGTGCATCTGTGTTAATCAAGAAGCATGTGACATGTGGCCACATCATAAATGCTCTACGGCCTGGAATATCAGCATCTTCCAAAGTGCTCATGTTTGCTCTGACATCGTCTGCTTGGCAGCAACTCGTTGGTGAACACATTCTGATGCGAGTCACACCAGAAACATTTACATGATGCATCATGTGATGAAATGACACAGGCCTTGGTGATTTGCAAAATGTTTCATTGTTCTAACACATCTCTGAAAACTTGGATGAATAATCCCGATCAGGACCACGGGACTTGCTTGATCATCATTGTCGAGCTGCTCACGGTTAAAATGCACTGTATTGCTTGCGAACCTATCAGACATACATGTGTTCTTGAGCTCACAGGTGACCGTACAGCTTTTGAACAATCCAGTCACCATCTGATGATAATTCCCTGTTGTCTTCAGTGTAACCTCCATCCATCTACTCCAGCTCAGTTTCCCTGTCATGCATCGCAGTTAGCTTAGGGTATTTTACGCCTCGGTTTCGATTGCAATGTATCCTCGTGATGGTGGTTTTCACTTGTATTGTTGATGCTCTTCGCTTACCAAATGATTTTTCGTGAGATTCACGACCTGTACGAAGCACTCCTCCAGGCTCATCACCTCTACACATCAGGAATTTCCTCTGAGTATGTTCGGTGAACATCTGTTCTGCACACTCGCTGTTTGCGAGCCATGGTTAGGACAGTACAACTCTTTGTTTCTCTGATTGGCCAAGCCTTTGGGATAGAAAAGAGCGGGGATGATAAGAAGTTGGAACACTTTCCATATCTGTTTCCTGAATTTGATCCTGCCAGTCACTCGGATATGGATGATCATGACATGGTTGATGACGATGGACATGAAGAGATGACTGTGGAATTACCTGCTCAGGATTTTGGCATGATGGCTTCTTCTCAGGCAACAGTTATTCCTTGCAATCATTCGACTTTAGCTCCTTGTGAGAGTGGGCCCCCTCGTACTTCGCAGTGTCATTCAAATGTAGGCATCGAGGCCCACGGTGGTTCAGAAGAAATGCCGATCATTGAAACCTGTGGAAGTCATTCACCTTCACATGCAAGTGAGCATGAAGGGCCAACCTCTCACGATCATGGAACAAACCGCTGCAATCCGCCAGTCACGGTGGTAGCTTCTGGCTCAAATTTAGGTTCCAAGCCCAGGCGGAGAAAGCAGCCCAAGAGTCCCTTGGCAAAGTTTGTCATAGGAACAATGAAGAACCCTCGAATCAAAGAATTCTTGAGAAAAGAGCTCCGGTCGGACGAAGACTTGCAGTATGCATTGAGGTACATTACAAAGCTCTTCTTGGCAGATGAAGTTGAGGGCAGCATTGGTTTGACAGTTTCGAATGTAGCTTTGAAGAAATATGTGGCAATCATGAAATTATCTCCCAGGACTAGCAATCACGTTGCGACTCCCGTACGGAAGATTTGTCGAACACGCGTCACAATGACAAACAATCTGCATGAAGAATTGGAGGTGTTTTGCACGGAGGAAGGAGCACACGGTGCTTCGCTGCGAAGGACTATTGAAAAAGTGATAGACCGATTGAACCTTGGAAAGTATGACAAGTTGATTGTAACCGTCAACAGCGATTGTACAAAATTGACAAAATGCTCAAGCAGTGACAAAAAACATACCGAGATTACCATCAGTATTTTGCCGTACCATACCAAGCAGAATTCTGCCGAATGGATCAGTGTGCATGAAACCAGGATGCGATTTGCACCAAGGCTTGTGACTTTGATGATTATTCCCGACAGGGACAGCGGTGAAATTTAGAGAGAAACTTTTGGCATTATTACACTGAGGAGATCCAAGATTTGCAGACAGAAGGGGTGCATATTCACGACGGGAAGGCTATGTACGGAGCGGACAAGTCAAAAGCCGGCGGCAATGCTTCAAACAAGATAGGCATTGAATTTCTTTTTCGAGCAGACTTGGCGGGACATTACGCTTATCTGCAGCGAGGTGGACCGCACGATAGCGATGGTGAATTTTGCATCCACTGCAACGAGAAGCTTCATAGCAAGAAATCTGCGAAGTTTTTTGCTGTTCACACTGTCTCAGCTGAAGAAAGGTTTACCTGGCACGGTATTTGCAACGAGTACCAAGTTCTTCCTAAGGACATGCGCGACTTGAATCTATTGGTCAGAGAAGGTCCAGGATTTCATGAACTCTTCGATTCCTGCAGTAAGGCAGAATATGACCAGCTCAAAACAGATCACAATCGGCAAGTCATTGACAACTGCATGGCGTTTCCAGATGATTTAATTCCTACAGGGACAAAAATAGCAGTTCAAAGATACATCCCGATCTGCAGGCAATATGAAGAACTGCGACCCTTGAAGTTGACCGCGATGGATTTTATCTACTGCTCATTACACTTGAAGATGCGAATTTGCAATACGATTATCAAATTTATTCATTCTGTGGCTGATAACAAGAGGAAGCTGTCACACATCAACCAGGTATTTGAAATGAATGGCGTACACATTCAATTAAGTGAAAAAAGGTTACAAGAATTTCGAACACAGCTAGATGGCGATCAATGCAATGATTTGATTCGGGTATTGCCTGAAGTTATTCGAATCATATGTCAAGACGAAGAGAAATTGAAAATGTGGGATGAGGCAATTGAGCAGCTACGAGATATTCTTTTTCTATTACAGACGCAGCACTTTGCGAAGATGAGTCAGGATCAAGCGAAGAATTTGCCCATACAGATTAGAAGCTTTGCGTACAAGTTGATTCGTTTGGTTGGACAAGCAAAACTTCTTCAGTCGTTCTACTTGCATTCAATGGTGTCTGGACATGTAGGAGACCAGTTCACATATCTCTACGAGAAATATGGAGTTGAAATTGGACTGCTCAACATGTCTTGCATCGAGCTTCGTCATAGGTTGCAGGGCCGTCCATCCTATCAGCGAGCATTGATTTTGGCCAACAACTACATCGCAAAATCAAAAAAAAAGTTGGTACCTTCGGATGAAGGATCTGCATCTGGGTCAGATTCCAACGATTTTCGCTGCCCATGTAACAGCGCAAACGGCCCATCGTTCAAGCAAGACCAGAAGGGAAAGTTCCATAAGTGTTGCAGAGCACATTTTACACTGGGTCAGCTCTTGTTGCAAAGCCACGTATGACCATGACTTGTACACGTCAGACTGAATTTTGTAGTGTTTTATTCATCCGAATAAATGCGAGTCAAATGTCTGCGAGGCACCCTGGTACGATTTTCTGCTGCCTCATGCTTGAACAACATATGAGATCCCCTCCAAATTATTCCTCGTCATGGAATCTTCCAACTTTCACTTCCAAACATGCAAAGTCTTACGAGTCGACTGAATTTGATGCAAAGACGAACAGTTTTGAAACGGCTGTTTCTCTTCAAGCAGATCTGCACAGGGCCTTCAAGGTATAGCGAACCAGATCCTGGCTCCAACTGGTACGGATTTTCTTTGAATGGCACAGGAAACTGTTCTTGAATGAAAGGGTGCTTGAGGATTGATTCACACACCGTCCAACAACACTCGCCTTTTTTCAAGCCTGAGCATGTAAGTCCTGAATAATCGCTGTCAGGTATTGCCAGCAGTGCGGCCTTCAGAATCAAGAGCAATGAGGTGACTTCGTCGTGCTCGACGTCCACTTCAACACGTTTGATATGAGGTTTTAGAAATGGTTCTCCACGTGTCTTGAACCACCGTTCCAATTCTGTCCTCAGCTTGTGTATATCTCGTGCAAGCTGAAAAGGGTCTACTTGACTTCTGACATTCAGGAAGAAGATTTTTAGCATGTCGAAAGTGACATTGAGCTTGCCAAAGAAGGATAAATGACATTCTTCATGACCATTCCTAGAGTTTATATCAAAGTATATGTAGCCAACACAAAGAAGACATTGTGGCAACGACGAACTTCCCAAACTTACGGAGGCTGCTGAACCTCTCATCGAGACTTGTTGAAAATTCACTCTAAAAACACCGATGATATCTTTCAAAGGGAACTCGTCTGTGTACAAACTTTGGAAACACTCAAATTTCTCCAAAGATCCTATCATCCTTGATGTTTGTGCATTGAATCGCACATTCTGGCCGACTTCTTGTAACATTTCCTTGGTGTACAAAATGTAGACAGATACCGAATGCTCTGAAGACTTCCGAATGATTCCATGCCTAGTTTTACCATGCAAATCTTGAAATACAACTCCAAGCGTAGGCTCAAGTACAAAATCAATATCCAGGCTGCTCAGCCGGTAACGTGCACACTTGTTGGTATGCTCTGGTTCATTCAGGACGAAAGCATTCGACGAAAAGAACAAAGGAGTTCTAAGCTGGTCTAGAAAATCTCGGGGTGATGATATTTCATCTTCAATTGCATCATTTTCATTCGCTTCCATCTTCCTTCTTTTCGCCACACCCAATTGCGCTGCATTTCTTGTTGATGCTCGATGCTCCGAGCGGTCCGCCATGGCTGTCGCTGCCCAGATTATACTCAACAATCCCCAAGTACAAACTAAAATAGTTTTGGCCGAAACAAGAATCGACTTATAAACTTTAATTTCGAAACCAGTTTGAAATCGTTTGAAACAGGTCTCCACGCCACCCCCTACACGCCTACACCAAAGGAACAACCCCCGCCGGTAAACCATGTACCCTAAAGAACAAAAAGCAAAATGTCAACGCTATGTCGGGCCCCCGGCCAATCTCCGGACACTTAGCCTCCTGGCGGGCCTCCAGGGGGTCTGAGGCGGGGCTGAAGGCTGCAGTCGGTCTACTGACGGGCCCGGCCGGCAGGATCCGTCGAGAAACAGGGGGGTCAAGGGAGGTTTTCTTCCCCCTGGGAGAAATGTCCTATGGGTTTTTGGATCTGCGATATAAAAAAGTCTTGTCTCGGTCACGTGATGTGTCACGTGACCGGTCAGGTGAGCCTGTCAGCCGGGTCACGGCCCCTGTCAGCCGGCTGACATGTCACGGGCCTGCTGACACGGTCCGCTGACCGGTCACGGCCGCCCGGAGAGATCGGGCCCCCGGCCAATCTCCGGACACTTAGCCTCCTGGCGGGCCTCCAGGGGGTCTGAGGCGGGGCTGAAGGCTGCAGTCGGTCTACTGACGGGCCCGGCCGGCAGGATCCGTCGAGAAACAGGGGGGTCAAGGGAGGTTTTCTTCCCCCTGCGAGAAATGTCCTATGGGTTTTTGGATCTGCGATATAAAAAAGTCTTGTCTCGGTCACGTGATGTGTCACGTGACCGGTCAGTGAGCCTGTCAGCCCGGGTCACGGCCCCTGTCAGCCGGCTGACATGTCACGGGCCTGCTGACACGGTCCGCTGACCGGTCACGGCCGCCCGGAGAGATCGGGCCCCGGCCAATCTCCGGACACTTAGCCTCCTGGCGGGCCTCCAGGGGGTCTGAGGCGGGGCTGAAGGCTGCAGTCGGTCTACTGACGGGCCCGGCCGGCAGGATCCGTCGAGAAACAGGGGGGTCAAGGGAGGTTTTCTTCCCCCTGGGAGAAATGTCCCATGGGTTTTTGGATCTGCGATATAAAAAAGTCTTGTCTCGGTCACGTGATGTGTCACGTGACCGGTCAGGTGAGCCTGTCAGCCGGGTCACGGCCCCTGTCAGCCGGCTGACATGTCACGGGCCTGCTGACACGGTCCGCTGACCGGTCACGGCCGCCCGGAGAGATCGGGCCCCCGGCCAATCTCCGGACACTTAGCCTCCTGGCGGGCCTCCAGGGGGTCTGAGGCGGGGCTGAGGCTGCAGTCTGTCTACTGACGGGCCCGGCCGGCAGGATCCGTCGAGAAACAGGGGGTCAAGGGAGGTTTTCTTCCCCCTGGGAGAAATGTCCTATGGGTTTTTGGATCTGCGATATAAAAAAGTCTTGTCTCGGTCACGTGATGTGTCACGTGACCAGTCAGGTGAGCCTGTCAGCCGGGTCACGGCCCCTGTCAGCCGGCTGACATGTCACGGGCCTGCTGACACGGTCCGCTGACCGGTCACGGCCGCCCGGAGAGATCAGGCCCCCGGCCAATCTCCGGACACTTAGCCTCCTGGCGGGCCTCCAAGGGGTCTGAGGCGGCGCTGAAGGCTGCAGTCGGTCTACTGACGGGCCCGGCCGGCAGGATCCGTCGAGAAACAGGGGGGTCCAGGGAGGTTTTCTTCCCCCTGGGAGAAATGTCCTATGGGTCTTTGGCTCTGCGATCTAAAAAAGTCTTGTCTCGGTCACGTGATGTGTCACGTGAACGGTCAGGTGATCCTGTCAGCCGGGTCACGGCCCCTGTCAGCCGGCTGACATGTCACGGGCCTGCTGACACGGTCCGCTGACCGGTCACGGC